TGCGTCTGTTGAGCGAGACCGCCGCCGCCGACGAGAGGAGTCGTTGGGTCGGGATCTGTCGCTGTCGTGGAGGAATCGTCGCCGCGTCGCCATCTCGATCGCCGCCTCCGATAGCCACGCGCAGAAGGAGCCGCCGCCGCTACCGTCTTCAGTTGCAGAGCCGCCGGGTTGAGAAGTCGCCGCGGCAGGAGCGAACACCAGGGGTCGCCAACGCCGTCCGAGACACCGCCGCCGGGTTGAGAAGTCGCCGCCCAGACGCAGCAGGACCGCTGCCATCTTCTCCTTCTTGCCCAATTGAAGCTGCCGATCGAAGGGGCTGTTTTTTTTGAGTTGGGCCGTATTCAGGAGCCAAAGAAAGAAAAGAAAAAAGTTGTGGGCCAATTTGTTTTTAAATTGGTCAGTCATTTTTCTTCTTTGGTGTTTTTGGGCTTAGTTTGGTTTGGCTAAATTAATGTGTGTGGTGGATCTGATTTTCTGACAAAATTACCAAGATCTGAAATTTTTGTTCCGGGTATCTCGTCCAGTCGTTTGAGATGGCAGAAGACGGGAAGTTCCGAATTGAGAAGTTCGATGGTATAGATTTCAGTTGGTGGAAGATGCAAATTGAAGATTTGCTGGTTCAAAAAGATTTGGACGTGGTTTTAGGTGACAAGCCAGAAAAGATGTCGGATGCAGATTGGGCAGGTTTGGATCGGAAAGCTATGTCCGTGATCCGTCTCTCGTTAACCAAGAATGTTGCGTTCAACATTCTGAAGGAGAAGACAGCGAAGGGAATTATGGACGTGCTGTCTAACATGTACGAGAAGCCATCTGCAGCGAACAAAGTTTTTCTGATTAGAGAGCTGGTGAACACAAGGATGAAAGAAGGCACTTCAGTTACCGAGCATATCAACAAGTTGAATTCGATCTTAGCCAGATTGTCAGTGGGCATTAAGTTCGATGATGAAGTTCAAGCTTTGCTACTGCTATCGTCTTTACCTGATAGTTGGTCCGGAACGGTTACAGCAGTTACCGGTTCAGTGGGACCCGATGGATTCACCTTTGATCAGATTCGAGATCTCGTTCTTGGCGAGGATGTCAGAAGAAAGAGTTCAGGGGAGTCATCTGGTGAATTG